TGTTCAACAAATGCCTTTACATGGATTGATGGATCTTAACCAAACTAGGCACATATATATCTATCATGATCCACAAGGAACACTTAAGGGGTTATGGAGTTTTTATAACACTCTGTTTGGGACCGGGGGCCCCGAATTTCTTTTTCCTAATATGAGCTATATAAATATAATTAACAACAAATACTCCTACATCCATAGATGCATCTTGACCATACTTAGTACGCATGCACTTGATTATCCATACTCAAATACCGAAGGGTGCTGAACTCATAATACCCATTCCGCTGGGTATTCCTTTTATTTTTCCTAATATAAACTCTACAATTATTAATAGACAACGCCATAGTTTCAATGTGAATCGATTGATCTATGCCTAGCATGGTAGCAATACTCTTCATTGTCCGTATCGAAATATCGGTGGATTTAATACTAAGAATATCCAATCTAGAATGTTCCAGAAAGTTCGATAACTTTAAAAAGCTATATCTATGACATTATTAAATAGATTTAAATGGGGCAAATTTTAAATTTTATCTTCATAACTTATATGAATGATTTTTATAGGGCCCTTAATCTCAGGCATAACTAAATTGATACACTTATGAAATGGGCCCCTCGATTAACTTAAAAGAAAAGAATCATAATTATGACATTTGCTGAAGATTTTTATCGTGTTTGCAAAATAATTAGATAAGTAGTTTTTACACATGTTTCGAGCATCTTATGAAATTTAATCTAGAATGTTCCAGAAAGTTCTAAATGGTTCCAATGGGACACATAGTCGAATCTTAGGGATTATTGAAATATTAGTTAGTTCTATTCATTTCTTTAATTCCCGGATTTAACTGTCCTCTTAGTAATACTGAGCACATTTTTTTTTATAAAGGATCGAAAAGGGCTCGCGATCCCATCTTAATCTTTATCCCAACGGGAACAGGATCCCACCAGAAAAATGGGATCCCACCTGGATCGGGATCCCAAACTTGAATGAAGCCACTGGGATCGGGATAACACCGGAAAAGGGGATTGCACGGGATCGTCGTCAGAATGGGATTTGTGTTCCAATGGATTGGGGTTACATCAGGATTAGGTCCTAATGCTATCCCGGCGAATGCCTGGTAGATCCACTTGTATAAATGTAATTTCAAAAATACTTCTGCATGGGTGACACAATCGCTACTAGTGTGTGTCCTTAATTTATTCGAGTAAGCACCAGTCGGGAAAAAGAAAATATTGTGCACATAAAAAATAACTTAAAAATATAATTAACACACAAACACTTTATTTCTTTGAGTGGCATTGCAACGCATGTCGGGTTCTCGCTAGTATATATATATATATATATATATATATATATATATATATATATATATATATATATATATATATATATATATAATTCCACAACTCTCACAGAACTATACCTTCTCACGTATCTCACGGTCATCCACCCCCTCTTCAAAGTTAACCCTTACATCCCGAACACTTACCATACTACATAAATATCTAATTAATTCTTTTAAATAGGTAATATTTAGTTACATTATATTATATCAAAATGAAGGAGACGCAGCCACAAAAATAAGTAGGAGCTTCCACAAAATTATAATGAAACAAAACCATTCTCACCCATTTAAATTTAGGATAATTTTTGTAACTGTTGCGAATCTATGTCCCATAGATTACTTAAGGCTACGAAATAATAAATTAACAAAATAGGCGTATTTAAAAAAAAAACAAATACTTAAAATAAGTTCTTGGCCACGTACAATTCAAATACATGCAATTTATGTGACATATTTAGTTTGTTTCTTTTCTGAATAAAGCGTAGGAGACAAAACATGACGAAACATACTGACATATACATATATGAATACAAATCATCCACCTGGGTAGACGAAGCAAAGCCAAAACTACCCACGTCTCTTTCATTTCAGCTCGTTGCCTCCTCACAGAAGTGTGCCCCGCTGCTAAGCTAGCGTTAACTTTCAGATTAAATTATCTTAGAATAACGGTAATTAAAATCCTTTCATGCGAACTCCGTTTTGGGGGCATGTGATTTGTATAAATTGTTGGTTGTTTTAGATGACACTTTGGACTCAACATTTGGTGAGGCAAGCAGCGCACGTGAGTAGAACAAACTGAACTGGGCTTGTTAACATTGTCATATTTCTTGACGTGGCGACGTGAGTTTTAAAAAAAATAAATCTATAGGCAAATGAGATACATGGAGAGTGTAGAGACAGTTCATAGGAACTGATACTCTTGTCTCGAATATATCTCATTTGTATCAAAGTAAACGTTAAATATATTTTATTTTTTTTAATCTCAATGCAATGGGAGAAGTGAGGTGTAGGAAAAAAAATGCTTAAGTTACAATTGTTTCTAAAATGAGTTAAGACCGGCCTTATATTTATTTTGATTACTTCCCCTTCATCATTCCTCTAAAGACCATTTGTGAAAAATGTACATAAGTGTATGGTTTAGAAATACATCGAGGAGCTTCTAAAGTATTTCAATAAGAATTAAAATAAAAAAAAAAAAAAACTCATTTTTCTCAAAACTGCCGATATACACTGAAGTACTTTTTTTACACGAAATGTATTAAAATATGATATTTTTCGATAATCAAACTATTTTTACACAGAATGTCAACAATGTTATTTATGGATAGTTGGCGTGCCACGTTTTTATTATATTTATCCCGATATATCTCATATTAATTTCACCCTTCCTCATCTCCACATGCATTTTTCGCAATTTAGATACAGCACTACGGTTTAGAGAAATGCATATCCCCATGATTACTGCAGCTTTTAGTGCTATCCTTGTGGCCACGACCGTGCGAGCCGCATATGTAAATGAATGGGACAAGCCTTTTGACTTTAGATGTCCGGACGGGCAAGTCATCATGTACATATCCAGCGTCCATGACAATTTCTTCGACGACAGGCGATGGGAGTTCATCTGCAGGACTGTTGGTTACACTCACAATTGTGTTTCTAGTGGTAGGTTGAGAGGACTGTTGGTTACACTCACAATTGTGTTTCTAGTGGTAGGTTGAGACGACTGTTGGTTACACTCACAATTGTGTTTCTAGTGGTAGGTTGAGACGACTGTTGGTTACACTCACAATTGTGTTTCTAGTGGTAGGTTGAGAGGACTGTTGGTTACATTCACAATTGTGTTTCTAGTGGTAGGTTGAGAGGAAATTTCGCTCTATTAAAAGTTCAGCGTTTTTGGTGATTTCTGATGTTCTAATGGAATTTTTATTTATTAAGTTGACTTCCTTGATTCTCTAACAGAATGTTACTTATTTAGTTGACGTGCTGGTATTTTGAGGGACTTTAAAGTATACGTTTTTGTGAATAAATTTATTGGATTGATTTCTTTTCATACTTTAAGCAATCCATGATGGAAATAATAGAAGGTACTTTTCTAGATGTGTCCTACTGATGTTTTTTTGGAATATGTCTTCTGGCACTGTTGCTAAGTTGATAAGGTTCTTATAATTCAAGTATCTTTGGCATCTCTACCATGCTTATATGGCTTCCTCTTCTGAACATTGAGCTATATTGACTCTATTTAAGATATTCAAAATCATACGTTTTATATTTTAATTATAATGCATCTGTTTTCTCCTGCCTGCTGAAGAACCAATCTAGCCGAATCATCTGCTTAATTGTTTTGTCTTTTATTTTCAATCCTAAGCATATCTTTGTCGACTTAAATCTGTCTTTACAGGACAACCAATCGTTAAGAAGAGGAGACCATTTTCAGAGATGGACTTCTTTGGTCCCACTTTCGTCCCCATCTTTAAAGAAATTCCACTTATCTGTCTCATTACTCTTCGCTATACTTTCTATTTGTTCGAACTCCAAAGTATTATATTGTCCGTGTCTTTATCGATCAGCCTTTGGGATAGTCACCCCGATAATTAATTGTAAATTCAAAATGATCAAATAATATTTTAAATATCTGAAGTCCAATAATTAATATGTAATTCCTTATACATATATATATATGTGTGTGTTTATATAATTTTTTTTTTTTGCTTGTGGTGTTGCTGCTTCCTTTACCCTTCCCCTACTCGTTTTATATTAATACTACTGAGTGAGAAAAGCTGTCAAGTATTGAGCGTCATGCTTACGTTTCTTCGGAGCCGACTATTATATAATCAATAAAGAGTTAAGGGTATGGTCAGGACGATCTGTAGTACTATCTGTAGGACTGTCTGTAGGTCTACCTGTAGACTATCTGAAGGACTATCTGTAGGACTGTCTGTATGACTGTCTGTATGACTGTCTGTTTTACTATCTGAAGGACTGTCTGTAGGTCTTTCTGTAGGACTGTCTGTAGGTCTATCTGTAGGACTGTTTGTAGGTCTATCTGTAGGGACTGTCTGTAGGTCTATCCGTAGGACTCTCTGTAGGTCTATCTGTAGGGACTGTCTGTAGGTCTATTTGTAGAACTGTCTGTAGCTCTATCTGTAGGACTGTCTGTAGGACTATCTGTTGGACTGTCTGTAGGACTGTCGGTATGACTATCTGTAGGACTGTCTTTAGGTCTAGTGCTTAAAAGCCGGCAGTGAGTGTGCTCGATTGTCGATAGGCCCTTTGTTTAAAGCCTGAAGGCAATCGTATAGTGACTGTGTTTGGTTTTATCTGTAGGACTGTCTGTAAGTCTATCTGTAGGACTGTCTCTATGACTATCTTTAGGACTGTCTTTAGGACTGTCTGTAGGTCTAGTGCTTAAAAGCCGGCAGTGAGGGTGCTCGACTGTCGATTTGTCCTTTGTTTAAAGCCTGAAGGCAATCGTATAGTGTAGAAAATGAGAAGTTATCTTATTTTGTACTTCTTGCACCCACCGGGTATTTTCTCAGAATATCCGAACCAGGTGTACAAAAATAATGCCCCCAGTTAGCCCTAGTAAATTATATTATTTTCCTTCTTAGCAGTGTTTATGGTTTTTTTTTAAATTTTGTTTTTTAATTATTTTGTTCAGGTTATGTCAATGAGTTTGACAAGCCGCTGACCTACACATGTCCAGGGAACGGTGTTCTGGCCGGAGTCGAGAGCTACAACGACGACTACTACGAAGACCGTCGCTTTAAATTCACGTGCTGTGACGTATCCCTGAGGGTCCCCAAAGAGTGCACCACCACCGGTTACATCAATGAATTCGACGGCCAGATGACCTTGCTCGTCCCGGAAGGCGAGGCCATTAAAAGCGTTTACAGTTGGCATGACAACTATTACGAGGACAGACGCTGGAAAGTTCAACTCTGCAAAGTCTGAGACGTGATTGGAGTGCTCGGAACTGCAGTATTCAAATTTAATCCGTTTTGAACATCAAGAACAATTTCGTTTTAAATTATATTGGAAAATAGAGTAAAATGTA